AGTAAAAAAGAGGGTGGGTCTTAGGTGGGTCTACTTTTAAGGTGTTGTATATGGCAGTTTACGGGTAATAAATTTGTGTTACATGAATTTGCAAAATCTGTGCATTTGAAAACTGGATTTTAATTAGTTAAATTGCGTCATTTTTATTTAATAAATGTAGATCATTTTCTTCACATGACTCGCGATTTGTCAATTAAACTTATAAATATAGGGGAAGTGATTTTGATCAATGGCAATGGCATATGGCAAAAACATATGAACAATATAATATAAAGGATTCTTATAGAGACAAATCGGAATTGGCACGTTTAACACATAATGCAAAAAAAAGCTGTAAGTTTAATTTTTAAAAATTCAATATTTATATAAATTATATATATTAATTATATACATATTTATTAGAAAAGCGAAAAAAAAGGTAAAGAAACTGTATCAAAATCTGGACCATGAAAGAAGCATAAAAATCAAACACTGAATAAGAATAATAGTAGTAGTAATTTAGTTTGTACATCTTCTGAATTATCTGTCACTATTCCTACAGCACAAGAACAACAAACTTATGTTGAATGGGAAGACAAAACTCCAAATGTGGCAAAAAAATTTGGAATTACTTAAGGAAGAAGTTGCTCTTTGAGAAAAATTAAACAGTTTAAAGAAATTGGATAGTTAAATTCTAATTTTCAATATTCGATGTAAAATTATATTATTTTTAATAAATAATATTTGCACAATGCTGTTGCGCTACTATTGCGATATAAATTAAAAGTTATTTTTATAATGTTTTTTTGATTAAATATTATAATAATTGGTTATTATATTATTCTGCTATATTAAATTTTTGTCAGTAATATGAGTGCTACAAAAAGAAAATTTGTCATCAAGATTTAAATTTATTGTTTACCGGACTTAATCTATCTGATATGTAAGAAATCATGTCTGGTAAATTATAAACTTGAAACCCCGATAACATATTTTTTATCAGTGACACCTGCACAATGTATTGTATTGCACGAATATTTAAATAA